CATCAACGTTCTCCCAACATCAACGTTCTCCCAACATCAACGTTCTCCCAACATCAACGTTCTCCCAACATCAACGTTCTCCCAACATCAACGTTCTCCCAACATCAACGTTCTCCCAACATCAACGTTCTCCCAACATCAACGTTCTCCCAACATCAACGTTCTCCCAACATCAACGTTCTCCCAACATCAACGTTCTCCCAACATCAACGTTCTCCGTTCTCCCAACGTCAACGTTCTCCCAACGTCAACGTTCTCCCAACATCAACGTTCTCCCCAACATCAACGTTCTCCCAACATCAACGTTCTCCCAACATCAACGTTCTCCCAACATCAACGTTCTCCCAACATCAACGTTCTCCCAACATCAACGTTCTCCCAACATCAACGTTCTCCCAACATCAACGTTCTCCCAACATCAACGTTCTCCCAACATCAACGTTCTCCCAACATCAACGTTCTCCCAACATCAACGTTCTCCCAACATCAACGTTCTCCCAACATCAACGTTCTCCCAACATCAACGTTCTCCCAACATCAACGTTCTCCCAACATCAACGTTCTCCCAACATCAACGTTCTCCCAACATCAACGTTCTCCCAACATCAACGTTCTCCCAACATCAACGTTCTCCCAACATCAACGTTCTCCCAACATCAACGTTCTCCCAACATCAACGTTCTCCCAACATCAACGTTCTCCCAACATCAACGTTCTCCCAACATCAACGTTCTCCCAACATCAACGTTCTCCCAACATCAACGTTCTCCCAACATCAACGTTCTCCCAACATCAACGTTCTCCCAACATCAACGTTCTCCCAACATCAACGTTCTCCCAACATCAACGTTCTCCCAACATCAACGTTCTCCCAACATCAACGTTCTCCCAACATCAACGTTCTCCCAACATCAACGTTCTCCCAACATCAACGTTCTCCCAACATCAACGTTCTCCCAACATCAACGTTCTCCCAACATCAACGTTCTCCCAACATCAACGTTCTCCCAACATCAACGTTCTCCCAACATCAACGTTCTCCCAACATCAACGTTCTCCCAACAGTCAACGTTCTCCCAACATCAACGTTCTCCCAACATCAACGTTCTCCCAACATCAACGTTCTCCCAACATCAACGTTCTCCCAACATCAACGTTCTCCCAACATCAACGTTCTCCCAACATCAACGTTCTCCCAACATCAACGTTCTCCCAACATCAACGTTCTCCCAACATCAACGTTCTCCCAACATCAACGTTCTCCCAACATCAACGTTCTCCCAACATCAACGTTCTCCCAACATCAACGTTCTCCCAACATCAACGTTCTCCCCACATCAACGTTCTCCCAACATCAACGTTCTCCCAACATCAACGTTCTCCCAACATCAACGTTCTCCCAACATCAACGTTCTCCCAACATCAACGTTCTCCCAACATCAACGTTCTCCCAACATCAACGTTCTCCCAACATCAACGTTCTCCCAACATCAACGTTCTCCCAACATCAACGTTCTCCCAACATCAACGTTCTCCCAACATCAACGTTCTCCCAACATCAACGTTCTCCCAACATCAACGTTCTCCCAACATCAACGTTCTCCCAACATCAACGTTCTCCCAACATCAACGTTCTCCCAACATCAACGTTCTCCCAACATCAACGTTCTCCCAACATCAACGTTCTCCCAACATCAACGTTCTCCCAACATCAACGTTCTCCCAACATCAACGTTCTCCCAACATCAACGTTCTCCCAACATCAACGTTCTCCCAACATCAACGTTCTCCCAACATCAACGTTCTCCCAACATCAACGTTCTCCCAACATCAACGTTCTCCCAACATCAACGTTCTCCCAACATCAACGTTCTCCCAACATCAACGTTCTCCCAACATCAACGTTCTCCCAACATCAACGTTCTCCCAACATCAACGTTCTCCCAACATCAACGTTCTCCCAACATCAACGTTCTCCCAACATCAACGTTCTCCCAACATCAACGTTCTCCCAACATCAACGTTCTCCCAACATCAACGTTCTCCCAACATCAACGTTCTCCCAACATCAACGTTCTCCCAACATCAACGTTCTCCCAACATCAACGTTCTCCCAACATCAACGTTCTCCCAACATCAACGTTCTCCCAACATCAACGTTCTCCCAACATCAACGTTCTCCCAACATCAACGTTCTCCCAACATCAACGTTCTCCCAACATCAACGTTCTCCCAACATCAACGTTCTCCCAACATCAACGTTCTCCCAACATCAACGTTCTCCCAACATCAACGTTCTCCCAACATCAACGTTCTCCCAACATCAACGTTCTCCCAACATCAACGTTCTCCCAACATCAACGTTCTCCCAACATCAACGTTTCTCCCAACATCAACGTTCTCCCAACATCAACGTTCTCCCAACATCAACGTTCTCCCAACATCAACGTTCTCCCAACATCAACGTTCTCCCAACATCAACGTTCTCCCAACATCAACGTTCTCCCAACATCAACGTTCTCCCAACATCAACGTTCTCCCAACATCAACGTTCTCCCAACATCAACGTTCTCCCAACATCAACGTTCTCCCCAACATCAACGTTCTCCCAACATCAACGTTCTCCCAACATCAACGTTCTCCCAACATCAACGTTCTCCCAACATCAACGTTCTCCCAACATCAACGTTCTCCCAACATCAACGTTCTCCCAACATCAACGTTCTCCCAACATCAACGTTCTCCCAACATCAACGTTCTCCCAACATCAACGTTCTCCCAACATCAACGTTCTCCCAACATCAACGTTCTCCCAACATCAACGTTCTCCCAACATCAACGTTCTCCCAACATCAACGTTCTCCCAACATCAACGTTCTCCCAACATCAACGTTCTCCCAACATCAACGTTCTCCCAACATCAACGTTCTCCCAACATCAACGTTCTCCCAACATCAACGTTCTCCCAACATCAACGTTCTCCCAACATCAACGTTCTCCCAACATCAACGTTCTCCCAACATCAACGTTCTCCCAACATCAACGTTCTCCCAACATCAACGTTCTCCCAACATCAACGTTCTCCCAACATCAACGTTCTCCCAACATCAACGTTCTCCCAACATCAACGTTCTCCCAACATCAACGTTCTCCCAACATCAACGTTCTCCCAACATCAACGTTCTCCCAACATCAACGTTCTCCCAACATCAACGTTCTCCCAACATCAACGTTCTCCCAACATCAACGTTCTCCCAACATCAACGTTCTCCCAACATCAACGTTCTCCCAACATCAACGTTCTCCCAACATCAACGTTCTCCCAACATCAACGTTCTCCCAACATCAACGTTCTCCCCACATCAACGTTCTCCCCACATCAACGTTCTCCCAACATCAACGTTCTCCCAACATCAACGTTCTCCCAACATCAACGTTCTCCCAACATCAACGTTCTCCCAACATCAACGTTCTCCCAACATCAACGTTCTCCCAACATCAACGTTCTCCCAACATCAACGTTCTCCCAACATCAACGTTCTCCCAACATCAACGTTCTCCCCACATCAACGTTCTCCCCACATCAACGTTCTCCCCACATCAACGTTCTCCCCACATCAACGTTCTCCCAACATCAACGTTCTCCCAACATCAACGTTCTCCCAACATCAACGTTCTCCCAACATCAACGTTCTCCCAACATCAACGTTCTCCCAACATCAACGTTCTCCCAACATCAACGTTCTCCCAACATCAACGTTCTCCCAACATCAACGTTCTCCCAACATCAACGTTCTCCCAACATCAACGTTCTCCCAACATCAACGTTCTCCCCACATCAACGTTCTCCCCACATCAACGTTCTCCCAACATCAACGTTCTCCCAACATCAACGTTCTCCCAACATCAACGTTCTCCCAACATCAACGTTCTCCCAACATCAACGTTCTCCCAACATCAACGTTCTCCCAACATCAACGTTCTCCCAACATCAACGTTCTCCCAACATCAACGTTCTCCCAACATCAACGTTCTCCCCACATCAACGTTCTCCCAACATCAACGTTCTCCCAACATCAACGTTCTCCCAACATCAACGTTCTCCCAACATCAACGTTCTCCCAACATCAACGTTCTCCCCACATCAACGTTCTCCCCACATCAACGTTCTCCCCACATCAACGTTCTCCCAACATCAACGTTCTCCCAACATCAACGTTCTCCCAACATCAACGTTCTCCCAACATCAACGTTCTCCCAACATCAACGTTCTCCCAACATCAACGTTCTCCCAACATCAACGTTCTCCCAACATCAACGTTCTCCCAACATCAACGTTCTCCCAACATCAACGTTCTCCCAACATCAACGTTCTCCCCACATCAACGTTCTCCCCACATCAACGTTCTCCCAACATCAACGTTCTCCCAACATCAACGTTCTCCCAACATCAACGTTCTCCCAACATCAACGTTCTCCCAACATCAACGTTCTCCCAACATCAACGTTCTCCCAACATCAACGTTCTCCCAACATCAACGTTCTCCCAACATCAACGTTCTCCCAACATCAACGTTCTCCCAACATCAACGTTCTCCCAACATCAACGTTCTCCCAACATCAACGTTCTCCCAACATCAACGTTCTCCCAACATCAACGTTCTCCCAACATCAACGTTCTCCCAACATCAACGTTCTCCCAACATCAACGTTCTCCCAACATCAACGTTCTCCCAACATCAACGTTCTCCCCACATCAACGTTCTCCCCACATCAACGTTCTCCCCACATCAACGTTCTCCCAACATCAACGTTCTCCCAACATCAACGTTCTCCCAACATCAACGTTCTCCCAACATCAACGTTCTCCCAACATCAACGTTCTCCCAACATCAACGTTCTCCCAACATCAACGTTCTCCCCACATCAACGTTCTCCCAACATCAACGTTCTCCCCACATCAACGTGCCATGGTTCCTGTCCCTTGGTCCTCCCCTCAGTCGTCGAATTCGTGTCCAATGTCGCAATGGCCAAGTCGCTGAAGCAGTCGTCGCTCAAGTGGGATCGCCCGGCGTCGCAGGACGTCTCCACGCGGCCGTGCACGGAGGATGACATTCGCGCGCTCTTCTGGGTGGGTGTCGCGGCGACCGGCGCGACGAGCGCATCGCTGCTGGAGCTGCTGCCGCAAGTCAGACAGGTGAGCGCGTCTCGCAGCGCGGATGGCGCATCGCCTATGGCGCATCGCCGATGGCACACGTGAGGACGAGTGACACTGGGGCACTGTGGGGGAAGGCAACGGGAGAAGGGTGGGGATTCGGGGGAAAGGGACGCGGACGAGGGGGGGAGGGTACATGACGGGCGTGGAACTCGACGCGAAGGACAAGCAGCAGCACGAGCAGCAGCTAACAAGGCATTCTTCTCGCACGCCCACTCTCTCCTTTCATGACACTCACTTCCTTGACTCCCTCCCTCTGCCTCATCCGTTTCGCCCTCCTGAACAGGCCTTGCAGCAATTCGGCGAAGTGAGAGGGGAGTACGCGCCCCATCCTTCCTCCTCGGACCCCAGCACTCCCCCGCACCTGCGCGCCCCCCCGCCGTCCATGCTCAAGCTCTACTTCGCGCCGTCTGGCCGCCGCCGCCTCCCGCCCTCTATCCACGTGTCGCGGCCTGATAGGTGAGCCCGCGGGTGGCAAGGGGCGAGGCTACCGTGTCGGAGATAGGGGACGTTTGTTGGGAAAGGGCTGATGGCTGTTGCGGTTTGATCACCATTGAATGTGTCTACACCTGCATTCACGAGTTGTACTTACAACTCCCTCCCTGGACCTATCCTTCACTTACTCTCTCCAACTCACCCCCGCCTCGCTCTCCAACCCATCTCATTCGCTGTTGTCCCCCGCCAGGCCTAAGGGATTCCCCCCCATGATAGCCCGCGTGTTCACGCCGCACGGGCACGGCCCGCTGGCGGTCAAGTGCGCGGACTTTGGCACCTTCCACTCTGAGTACGGCTGCCCTGACTGCTGTAGCCGCCACTTCAACGGCTGGGGCGCCTAGCTGGCGCTGCAAAAGCAGTAGCAGCAGCGGCGGCAGCAGCAGCAGCAGCAGCAGCAGCAGAAGACAGAGACAGCAGGGCAAAGACTCACAGCAGCCAGAGACAGCGAACAAGACGTTATTAGCAAGGTAGCACTACAGTAGCAGAAGTTCACACTCCGCGCCAATGGATTGGAAACGCCTGATTGACCTCTCGACTCTACACTGCACTGACCAGGGAAGAAGCACCCCTTGGGGTGCCGTGCAAGCAGGGATAGCTCTAGCTCCACTACCCCCGCCTACCCTGTCTCCAGACAAGATAGCCCATCCGTATGTGTGATCGAGGTGACTTTTGAGTCGACTCAAAAGTCACCTCCAGACAAGACAGCCCATCCGTATGTGTGATCGAGTGTGGGTGGGTGGAAGGGAGGGGTGGCGTCTACTTACCTAACACATGGGCCTGCCACTATACTGAGGAGTTTGAGGATTCACTTCTGCTGGCTATTATAATGGCAGCTAGCTGCATGGATGGAGTAATGATGCCGGGTGAGTAGAGTTTAGCGTGATTGTCGCTGGCTTGTGGCCGGGCACACCATGCATGGTGATTGAAAGGAGTCGTGCATGTCTGAAGGATAGCAACTTGGTGTAACAGGTTTCGCTGTGGCTTACTGGTTTGTGCCAAGCCAGTGGTGTTGCAGCTGGAGTTGCGTTGCATCTGATATTGCAATGGATGTGCAGTGTGTAGGTTCAGCTGGGTTTCTTTTGGCTTTTCTTTATTTCCTCCTTTTTTCCCTTGTTCACTATTAGCTTGCTTCCTTGAGTTGCAAGATTCATTCTGAATCTATAGATGAATGGATCTGATAGGAAGTGTGCAAATTGTAGTTGCTTCACGATGTGGTAATATGCTCTTGCCATAATGGTAGATATTTGGAAATTGGAAGGCTCACAACAACAGCTTGGTTCATCAATTGTGCTTACAGCAAGTATTCGTAGGGAGAGTATGACATTAGCTGGTGTCTGATTGTGTAGCATCACGATGACTGTCCAGCTGTGAAAATAGAGAAGGCAAAAGCAAAACACACCATAATGCCGTTCATGGCCCAAACGCAAATTTAGCACGAATTTGTCAGATTATATGTTTATTATTGTTATCTAGGCTGTAGTGGGTTTAGCCTTAGGGGGTACAGTAAGTTGCTCGACACTTCATTGTATCCCCCTCCTTGCCCTAATCCACATCATTCCTTCCTACCTATCTCAACATGGTATCAGAGCGAAATGGTCCTTAGGACCGAATTTTTAAACGGGCCCACCATTACAATTTCAATCTGCTGCCCGAGTCGCGCCCTAGGCGAGACGGTTTTTCTGCCCTAGGCGCGTCCCGTCCCCTAGCTGCCCTAGGCGCGTCCCGTCCCCTAGCTGCCCTAGGCGCGTCCCGTCCCCTAGCTGCCCTAGGCGCGATTCTTCTGCCTAATCACGTGCGACCCCTCCTGACCGCGCCCTAGCTGCTCCGCGCGCCACTCGCGCGGCTCGTCAGCCCCTACGCCCGCCCCCCCCTCGTTCCTGCTGCTGCGCGCGCCACTCACGCTGCCCGCCAGCCCCTAGCGCGCACCTGCTGCGCGCCCTTTTTGAGCTGCTCCGCGCGCACCTGTTGCGCGCCCCTGGTCTGCTAGCCCACAGCCCGCGCGCGCCTACTGCTGTTGTGCGCCGGCTGCTGCTGCTACGTGCCGCTGCTGCTCTGCCACTGCGCCCGAGCCGCGTCGCCCAGCCCGAGCTGTCACTGCTAGTGCTACTGCAACTACTGCTGCTACAGCTAGTGCTACTGCTGCTGCTGCTACTACTGCACTTGCTACAGCTGCTACTGCTGCCCTGCTCTTGCTGTACTACTGCACTGCTGCCCTGCTGCCCTGCTGTTACTGCACTAACTGCCACTCCTGCAACTTGCTGCCGTTCATGCTGCTATGGCGATTCCCACTGTTCTAGCCTTTGACGCAGTGGGGCAACCTACAGGGTTTGACTCCTGGCTAGAGGGGCTGCACCTGTACCTCCGGAGTGTCAAACGGGACAACGTCTCCCTGTTCGAGCACACGTCGGGGTCCCTTCCGGCCCCAGAGGCTCATGCTGAACCTACTACTGACGCTGAGGAGGAGGAGCGGACGCAGTTCCGCGCAGCTCACCTTGCCTACAACCGGTGGATGGCGCGAGACGCTGCCGCCTCACTTGCAGTCCGCCTTCACCTCTCGTTCTACCAACGAGCCTTCTTCCCCAGGAGCCAGGTGCCGTCGGCCCATGCTTTGTATTCCGCTGTGGTTAGGCACTACTCCCCCCCCCTCTCTTGCAGTCCTAGGCTGACTTGCGCTGCCTCTTACCTTCCCTGCGTTGTCAGACCTCACCACTGTAGCTAACGAGGGTCGTAGTGGAGCTGGCGGGAGTGGCGGGGGCAGGCACCAGGAGTTAGAGCCTTTGTGTGTCGCTGCTTGTGCGCCTACTAGCACAGTCTATGCGCACCCCTCCACTGTTCTCCCGTGTCTCGTAGTCCCCTCTGCCTCCTCTGGCTTGACCGAGGGGGATGACCCTACTGCTGCTGACACAGCGACCTCTCGCCGCTCACCGCGCTTGGAGACACCTCCGGGTTTTCCGCCCCTGACGTCTTCGCCCTTCTCTGCAGCCTGTCGCTGCGGACTTCGGGGGCCCAGGTGTTGTTGGGGGTGGTGACGTTGAGGGTTTTGGTTCTGAGGGTGCTAATTCTGGGGGTGGTGCCTCTGGGGGTGTTAGGAGTCCTCTTGTTGGTGGAGTTGGAGGTACTGGCGCTAGAGGTGTGGGTCTGGGGGTGCATTGCAGTCGCTGCCACGGCAGTCTATCTTCTTTGAGCAGCCGTCGTCGTGGCTACCTGAGCCGACGCCCACTTGTACTACTCCTCCTCTGTTTTTTCCGCCGCCTGCCTCCCCACTGCCTGCTCCTGCTCGATATGTCCTGCTGTCCGTCTTCCTGACTGGGCGTCGGGAGCCTGTGTCTTGTGCCGCCTCCCCTGCTCCCTCTCGTGTTACTCGGGAGCCTGTTGTCCTGCCGTTACCTCCCCCGTCTTCTCTTCCTCCTGTTCCTGACCCTGTGTCTGACCTTGCTCGTGCTGCCAGCCCGACTGTCCCTCGTAGTCTAGCCGCGCTTGTGACTGCACCTGCTTCTTCGACTGCTGCTGCTTCTGCCTTAGTAGCTGATCTCGCTGGTTTTGCCGCTACTTGCCGTCGTACCTACCTTACTGGTCTCGTCTCTGCCTCTTCGTGTCCTCCGTCCGTTGAGGGTGAGTTTGCCCTTGGCTGTGACATCCTTGAGGACACGCAGTTCGAGCTGGTATACCATCCTGCGCACTGGCGGGCTGCTAGGAGGGTGTTGCGCTACCTGGTCAGACTAGCGAGCAGAACGTAGCACTTTGCACTTCGTTCCTTTGCCATGCGAGTGTTGCAGCAGCGTTCCCAGCTTCGCCTTTGTACGTGGCCACACGAGCCAACACTGCTTGTCTCTTGATTCTGTCTTGTACTCTGACATATAAACCTCCATGTATCCCCCTCCTTGCCCTAATCCATGTCATTCCTTCCTACCTATCTCAACAGAATTCGATGTTTCTGTTAGAGGCAAAAACAAGCAAATGTAGGGATTGTTCATGTTATGGTGTACTTTACTGTTCAAGGGTATTTTACCCTAAACAGTCCTCCAATCTCATCCCAACCTTATCTTCATCCAACTCATCCAAGATTTCCAAGATTTTCTAGTGCCACGTGGCACTCTAGCCTTCTTGCCTTCTACTTTCTAGTCCCACGAAGTACTTTCCAACAATCGCTCTTGCATGCTACTTAAACCTCGCTTGTACTTGCCATTATCAACCAATTCTCATTCAACTCTTCCATTACTCATTAACTCCTTCGCCTATTTCGCCAATATTTCTTTCGCCGAAGTATTCCACCGCGTTTCGTCCTCGGCTTAGTCGACCCCGCTAATCTTTAGCGGATTTATGCCAAGGGGCCTAAAACTTGGTATCAGGAGCCTTCGCGGGGAGCGACTTCCAACGAGCGACCGTCGACGACTTGACTACGTCGTCATCGTCCCGCGGTGCCGACTTACAGACTCGGAGTCGTCGAGCCGACATGGATCAAACCATGAATGCTGTCCCCAACGACATGGGCAGCACGCTTGCTCAGCTCATGCGCCAACTCCAAATGTTGACGCTGGAAAATCGTCAGGTACGGGCTGAAATGCAACAGCTTCGTGAATTCGTGTCAATTTCTCATGGTCATGCCGCACCATCTCCTGCACCCAACACGTCGACTGGTGCGGAAGCGCTGCCGGAACGCCGAACCGCGCTGAAGCCGCAGAAACCCGAGCCGTTCGACCTAAGCCAACGCGACGCGAACGTGCGGACGTGGATCTTCATGCTGAACAACTACTTCGCCGCAAGCGGGGTGCAAGAGGCAGACGCGCAGCAGCGGATCGAGTACTCCGTTACGCTGCTAAGGGGCCCGGCCTTTGAAGTGGTGGCGCCAACTCACGCAAACTGCTGTAAGAAGGGCTCATTTGGACGGGCATCAACAGGGCGAGGGGCATGCAGCTGCAACTTCGAGCTTAGGGAGTCTAGCTTTGGGTGTTACCACGGTTCCGATGAAATGGGAAGGATTTGAAGCGGTGCTGAAAAGTAGGTTCGACCTGAAAACGCCTCCGAAGCTGCTAGGAAGCGTCAGCGTAATTTCCAAGAGATAGGAAACGTCCAGGGATATACACGACGGTTCTTGAGCAGCTGCAACGAAATAGATGACATCACGGAAGCAGAGATGCGCGATCGCTACCTCGAAGGGTTGAAACCGGACATAGTGGAAGTTATAGCGATTCACGGGCTGTCCACCTTCGATTCAGTTGTCGCAGCCGCAGAACGCGTCGACGTAGTACGAAGCCGACGGGGTCGTGACGATCGCGATAAGGGATACAATAGACCGATCAACGACGCTCGATCGAGGGATGGACCGTCGCCCATGGAGATT